CAACGAACAACAACAATACGTGCTACAAACCTTTTTCACACATTCTTCAATGTCAGTTTCCAGTTGTTTAAGTTGTTCGGCGTACGGTCCCTGTCCATAACGCTTCAACACTGCTATATCACCTTCATCAACGTCTGAAACAAATGCGATTTGAAGAGTTAAACGAAACAAAACGATATATCTGAACCAGTGATCTTTTATTTCGTAATTACCTTGGAATGGTTTGTCATCTTCTGCATCAACATCCTTCTTCTGCTTTCGCATGTCAGCTCCAAGATGGTCAGGCATTTCGATACGATGGATTCAAGAACCAAAAACAAAAGCAACCAGTCAGGAAGGTGGAATTACTAAAAAATGAAACTGTACATCGAAAAGGGCCACGTTGGATGATTGATACCAATATCTCAAGAAGAAGACAACTATATTTGCAAATAACGAGGCTTCAGCAACTTTCTTGTCTTCGGAACAAGCAACGACTAAAGTCAAGAAAAAGAAAGTTCATGAAAAAACTAGCCAAGCAGAGGCCAGTTATAACCATTCATTAAACGCAGCTGGTCTTCAACGCGGATTATTTTACACCACAAACCTTGAAAATATTGGAAAAACACCTCCTACGTTAACAAGAAGAGTAATTCACAACGATGACAATTCAAAAGAACATTTGGAACGATTGGCGCAAGGAATCAGCATTAGAGCACGTAATTTTTGCCAGCTATCGCTTGAAAACTTTACGCTTACATCAGAAGTTGATGTTAATTTCATCAGTTCCTTAGTTGAGTGCACTTCAAAATGCGTTACGAAATTATAATGAACCAAACAATCAAGAGACAAACGCGGGACTTAAAAGAAAGGATAGGGGCGACTCAAAAAGAGTGAACAGCAGCCTTAATTGTTGGAAGGATTTGTAAGGTATAATTATAACGAACCTCAGTTATAATAGAAAGAAGACTATCACTTCGATGGAACGCGCGTGGATAGAAAGCTCACTATACTATGGTTAGTTCTCAATGCGAAGTGGCAACATTGGTGGGTCTCGGTCAGGCCATTATGAAGGACTTCGCTCAAAACTCAGGCAAGCAGACCGAAAGGGACCTCAAATGAGACGGCTCATAAGTTATGATATTCGCCCAGTTCACCAAATTAATAAATACATGATGGACGGGAATATGATTCTGGCGTAATCCAAAGGAGGATTCCACGATAAAACCGATGATCGAAGAAGGAGAAGTATATCTAGTTTTGAAGCAGGAGGGCATCTAACGGTGCCGTTGAGGATGCTGTTTCGCAGTGAAGAGTATGACCCCAGCGGCTTAGCAGGGCCCGCGCCGCTCGCGCCTCTACACGCCCACCGGTAGGTAACCCCTCGCCGTCGAACTCTAGCCGTTTAGCAGAGAAAAGCGTTGAGAGGCGGCACCGATGAGATTCGCATCAGTGCGGAAATCAACGGGCAAAGAAGGGGTCCTTATTTCTCGAGTTCCTCTGATCCCTACCATGTTCACGATTTGCACCAACGACCACCGATACCTTAGATTTTAATGCGCTCTATTTCGTAAGTACAAGCTTGGCCGTTAACTACGGAATACACGGTTGGGTTTTTCGGGAGCGCCAGTTTTACTTTCATGAGTTGCAGAGGTTTTTCCATTGCCAACGAGTGCGATTTTTCCGAGAATAATAGAAGACAAACGACAGCATAAAATCAATCAAATCATCCACATTTTTTTGCTTGAGTAAGCACCCGCATACATTGTGCTACGAAAGGGTCTCTCTGCGACAGCCACCTCATTTATGACAGGAGTAAGACCTTCAGACCGCATGGCGGTTCAAAGGAAGTGTGTACGGACCTACGTCGAAAATTGCCTTCAACCATTTGGAAAACAAATTTTTCGAAGTTCAGTCGTTATGTTAGTAAACGCCAGTGAAGCAGAAATCTCGAGATTTGAAGCTTTAGAATTTTTTTACAAGTAGACATGAATATGAAGGGAGGTTCGATAAATTTTACCAAGTGAATTGTCTCGAACTGACCTGCTTTGTTCCCAAGCCTAGCAGCGGCAAACGCGCTTCAAGGACGAGCATGGCGCGAGCTAACATAGAGTACCAACGAACTGTGAGAGGATGCGGCGTATCGGACGGCATTAAGAGGGGCCGTTCGTGGAAGGGTTCATCAATAAAGGGTATGTGGATTCGGTGATTATAGTTTTGCCGACTTATTAGAATAAGTATACGAGCTTAACTCCCGCCAGGCGGTGAACCTTTTATTATGAGGTTTGCAGCCGCCTAGAGTTACCTTGCCTTGCGAAAAACTGGAATATCAAGGCAATGTGAATTGTCGCATCAAAGCACCCTCCCCACCGCTTACCAGATGAGACCCCATGATTTTTTAAAGAGGGACGGGCCTGGACAGATGTGATGTACAGCATTTTCTAGAGTTGCCGGTTACGCACTGCATTCTGACTGCCCTCTGCTCATGGCAATGAATGCGTTCGATTGTGAGGGGAAGATGTTCCTACAGATGTGACCTACTCAGCAAGACATTTCTTGATTTATTGTGCTCATTATATGTTTGGTATTGTTGTGTATTCGAGCGTAAAGCAGTGTGCATGGCGCAAGGTTATAATAATTGTTATACAGTGCGTTTCATAAGTATAGACGCACCCTCAAAAAAGCTGTCATCAAAGTTTAACGATATCCGTGACAAAAAGGGTTGTTAATATCGTAATCAGCGTGCCGGAAAACCTTTGTGAGACAGGTTTTATTTGAATCGGAGAAAAATTGGGTATTTTTCAACGGTTTGTTACCAAATGGACCGTTTCATAAGTATAGACGCACTTTAGAAATCGCCATGAAACTGAACACTTGGCCTGCGAAAGTTAACGTTCAAGGAAGCAGTAATTAGCCATAAGTACTACGCATCATATCGTTAAATAGCAGGGGCTCACAGCTTCCAGTTGCCGAGCAGGCTCAGGATCGCGCCCTGCACACGGTATGTCTGAGCAATCGCATAATTGCTCCCCAATTGTGTTGCTCCTCAAGGGTCGTCGATCAACTCGTAAGTGACACGGAATCCTACGGTCGCAAAAAGGATCAGGTAGACCAAGGAAGCTGCTGCTTCCGCAAGCAGAACGTCAGATTGAACGATTGGTCTTGACTGACTCAGCCATCAGGAAAGATCCAGGCGACACTAGCAGGCACCTGCCTCCAAAGCGGCGGTGTGGAGGGCGTTCAGTGGCAACAGCAACGTCGTGCAGTCGTCTCCGTCCAGCTCCCTGTCTCACCGCGTCTCGCAAAGAGGCACGGCTCCAGTTTGCTAAGAGGAGTATGGCAGCAAACTGGCCCAATTTACACCCCTTTCTTATAAAGCTTCCCATTCGAAACTTCTTGCTCAATTGATATTCTCCGACGAGAAGAAGCTCAACCTGAACGGTTTAGACGGGTATACATTTTAATGGAGAGATCTGTGCAAGGTGTCGAAGTTTTCCAATAAGCGTGATTTCGATGGATGATGCGTCACAATTTGGAATGTATTTCACCGATGTGGGACGCAAGAAATCGCTTTCACTCCCACCCACATGGACTCCACGGAAAACAAAGACGTGCTCAGTCCTCACTCGCTACCTTTTTTGGCAGGGTATGGCGAGGGAGAATTTGTTTTTTAGCAGGACAACGCTGTGATCCAAATGAGGCGGTCTACTTGGTCGTGGATAGAGGAGCGAAATGCAACTACTGTGGACTGGCCTGCTCTGATTCACCCAATGTCAATCTCATTGAAAACATCTGAGGCCTCCTGGGTTGCAATATTTAACGTCACAGAGGGACTTTTGTTGAGGTGACCGACCTCAGAGTGGTGATTAGTCAGGAATGGAATCGTCTGGTCGTATAACTGCTCAGCGGATGGTAGAATCTACTCTTTCTTCTACCTTACGAAGTACTAAGAAACAATCAATTACTGAGGAGTTTTATAGTTTGATTCCATGACTAAATGAGTATGTGTCTTAAGGTGCGGTCTATACTTATGAACGTTTCGCGCAACGGTCGGATGCCTAAAACACCTCGAAAAAATTTCTCATAACTACGAGACGTATTGTAACTGAGACTATTTCTCCGATGATTCCTACTAGTGCCATTATGTTACCCTATGGATCCGTTTGAAACTATTCGTGTAAGATTTTGGGGTGCGTCTATACTTATGAAACGCGAACTGCTACGATAATGTTATTTGCAGTATTTGTGAAGGCCGGTCGTCAATATTGTGGCTGTAGTCAGTCTGCATTCTACGCGTTTCTGGCTATTTGAAACAAGGTATCTTTTAGACGCGACTCTGCGGATCTGAATGAGTGCGGTCGACCCAAATCAAATGCGGTTCACTTTTGACAGCACTGCAATAGCACAGAAAACACTTTATTTGGAAGCGAATTTATTTAGGTTCAAAATGAGGGCGTTCAGTGTTGTCGTACAAAACGACTTCCTTGCAGATGAGTTCGATTGGTACATCTCTCTGTAAAACAATACCTCGCAATTTCTAGTTATTTCCGACCAAATTCTGGGCTCTATTACCGACAGCAAAGATCAATATGTACCTCGATAAGTTCAACTACAAAGAGCCAACGCTTGCAAATTTTCTTCTCGATAGGCAGCTCTGCAATACGATAGCACTTGCTGACCGATTCCTGCAAAGATATAATGTTTTTACAGCGGTTTTAAATTCATCTTCATAACAAAATCAGATTCTACCTCAAGGAGGATGGGACATTGTGCAACAGCCTGATCATATCCTAATTCTGCTCAAGGGTATATTTGAGGTAAGGACTCTCATCCCCCTGCCATTTTCTTGATTTTTTTTCGTGTCGCACGGGTTTTGTACTGGATATCACGAAGGAAAAATTCTAGGCAATTAATGTGGGTTTTTGAAGGTAGTAGGGGGAGGAGCTCCGGAAAAGTGGGGCTTGCTCACGAATCCTGGAGCGTCTCTTCCATTCCCTTCCCAAGGCATGGTCTTGAATTAAAGCAACACCCACCGATGGGTTTATGTTTTGGCAGCAAATGGAATGAAATGATGCGTGAGCCCTTGTCGAAACAAATGAAGTGTCGCTGAAGCAAAACTCACCTTGGAAAGCCGCTAATGAAGGATTTGGATAGGTGCCAACTCGTCAGTTCCGCCTTTCGTCGGGTCCGCCCACTTGCTAGCCGTGGAGATCGCATGGTTGGCTGCGCGGTCCTTGCGCGATTGCCTTTCTTGAATGGTTTCAATTGCTTAATCGTCTAATTATCATTTTTTGTATTGGTGCATATGT